CAACACTGAGGGTTGCGATCCGTTGCCGGACACGGAAAAAGACAAAAAGACAAAAAAAAAAAAAAAAAAAAAAAAAAAAGAAAAAAGAAAAAAAGAAAGGAAATGGCTTTTTAAAAAAAGCTCCACAATGAGTAGTTACTACCTGCCTAACAAAGAACTAAGTATTTTAATGTACAGTCTTATTTTTGATCCTTACTTGCTCCACATTTCTTTCATGTAAGTATTTCTACTTGCAGGTTGAAAAGAATATTTTTTCTGTTGTTTAGGTACAAAGTTAATATATATAAATGTCAAATCAATTTTGATTAGGTTATTCCAATCCTCTACATCCTTATTTTTAGGCTACTAGAACTGTCAATTTCAAAGAGAGTACCTGTCAACGTGTCCCACTATGATTGTGGATCCATCTGCTTTTCCCTACAGCCTTACAGTTTTTTATTTATATACCCCTAAGCTAGGTTGCCAGGTACACAAAGTTCACAACTATCAGAGCTTCCCAGTGAATTTTTAAAAGTCAACATGAAATGGCTTTCTCGGTTCCTCTAAAAAATGCTTTTAGCCTTCAAACCTATTTCATGTGATACTGATGTTGCCTCATTAGATTTCTTCTGGTTAGCAACTGTCTGGAACTTCTTTTTCATCCCTTTATTTTCCATCTCTGTGTCATTTTGTTTTGGGTACCACAATCGTCTCTATTTCTCACATGATGACAGTCTGAGGGGTGAAATGTGTTACACAGCTAACAAGCTATCGAACAGACACTCCCAAACCCAGGGCTATCAGACTGTACTCTGAGCCTGTGGGATGACATGGTAGAAATCTGTTATGTTTGACCAGGACACTGCTTTAAAAATTTTTTTAAACTAGTTGCTGTGGAAGTACTAGCTGCGTGCCCATTATCCATTTTTATCTTTTCTTCCTTTTTTAAGAAAAACCCTCGATTCTTAGGGGAGGAAAAGAGAGAGAGGTACTTTTTCTAGCTAAAAACTTATATTTCCCAGCCTCCTTGCAGATAGGAATGGCCAATAAACAGAAGTGGTTGGATGGAATTTCTGAGAAAGCTTTTTAAAGGGGGCTGACTTGTTGGGAGGTCTGCCTTTTTAACTTTTCCTCTTATTCCCTACCTGGAAATATGGATGTAATGGCTGGAACTCCAGCAGCCATACTGGCCTGGGCATGGGGGAGCGGGGTACCACCCTTAGGGCTGGAGGGCATGCACTAAGGCTGGCATTCCACTGATGCTGAAGAGTAACCATACCAGCCCTGGGCTGCTGACCTCTAGACTTCTTTATATGAGACACTTCCATGTTGTTTAAGCCTGTTACTAGCAGTTGTAAGTAATTCTGAATTGATACAGTTGAATCTGAATTCTGAATGCCAGGATTTAAAAATTAGGAGAGTCCACATAAAAAAAATATAAATTGCAGGAGAGTCTTCAGAAATCAGAAAGGCTGGCAACACTGGGTTTGTTTGCATTTCTTGCATGATAACAGTCAGTTGAAGCTCAGCACATAGTCCCTGCATAACATGCTTTGCTTCTGTATGTTCCCTGCTTGGCCTGCAGCTGTCTGGGTTTGTGGTCTCTGCACTATGCTATAGTGACTCTTGGGATTGCCCTTCCAGTGCCAAGGAACCTAATGATGTATGAAGCCCATCTCTCCCTGGTGTTAACACCTTCCAAACATCAATAGCTCCACTTTCAAAATGATTCCAGAACCTGCCTCCAAGATTCTTCCCCACTCCTGGGTTCCCATCCTAGACCTGTCCACCATCATCTCCTGCCTGTACCATGGCAGCAGCCTGCTCCTCGGTCTCCCTGCTCCCCCCTACTCCCACAGTCTGTTCCCCACATAAGCCAGAGGGGAGCCGTGAACACTGGAGTCAGATCAGAGTCATCCTGTGGCTGCAACCTGACTCAGTGTAAAAAGCAGCATCCTCGCCATGGCCCAGAGTCCCACATGACCAGCTCTTATCACTTCTCTGCCTCAGCTCCTTCCACTGTCCCTCAGTCACTCTGCGCAGCAACACTGGTCTCTTCCCCCTTCCTACAGTATTCCAGGACTTTGTACTTGCTGTTCTCTGTGCCAGGAACACTGTGTGGAGTCTCCACACCACTCCCTCCCTCAACTCCGCCAGATTAGTCCTCACATGACACCTACTTGGGAGGCCCGCCCTGACCATTCCCTGTTGAAAACTGTAACCCCCGACCTGACGTTCCACATCCCTCTTCCCTGCTTAACTCTTCTCCATAGCACTTAGCATCCTATAACACCTTCTGTATCTTACATATATTTTGTTTTATTGTTTGTCTCACCCCACTAAAACATTAAGTGCTAGGAAGACAGGATTTTTGTTTTAAGCTGGTCAATACTATATTCCCAGGCTCTAGAAAGTATTTGGCACATAGTTGTACCAAGCCCACATCTGCTGGATAAATGCGTATCTACTGTCTCACATGGCTCCGGGTTTACTGAGTGCCAGCCATGTGTCTGACACAGGGGGAAGTACTGGGTGTGGCTGGGCTCACTGCATCCTCACGGTCCTCTAGGAGATAGGTCTGTTTCCTGCAGCAGCCTCAGCACTGAGAGCATGGCATTACACATAGTGAATGAAGGAGCAGTGGGGGTTCTCAGAGACAAGCCACGGCCCCACCCACCCACCGTCACCTTTGCCTACGAAGTAGTCTTGGTAGTAGCGGGCCCCCAGGTCCACGTGCTCGATGCTGTAGTGCCGGGGCCGGCTCTGTGTCCTCTGCTGCTCCTTGGGCACCTCCAGCACCGAGATGCTGGCATTGGTGCGGTAAGCACTCAGGGTGGGCTCTGCCAGGTGGCCCTCACCACCACTCGGGGAGCCCACGGAAGCCCGCGAGAAGCTCACGTTGCGCTCGCACTCGCCTCCGATCTCGTTGCGGAAGTGCGGGCAGCTGAGCAGCAGGTCATTGCTGTTGTCATCACCAAGGTCCTGCTCTAGGTTCTCCTTGCAATTCAAATCCTCTGTGCTGGTGAAGGCTGGGTCCAGCCCCCCCAGGTTATGGGCCCGTGACACCGTGAGGGACGCCGTGGCCGAGGCGGCCGAGGCACCCGTGGTGGTATTCCGCCGCTGCGCCACGCACACCCTGTTGGCGGCCGCCTCGTTGAGGTCGAACAGCATGCTCTGCACGTCAAAATGGGCGAAGCTCTTCTGGCAGACCCATGGTCTGCTGGCTTCTGGGGGGCTCCGACCCTCTTCAGCCTCCCCTGGGGACCGCCCAGCCTCACCCTCTGCTTTACTGCTCCTCAGCTTCCGGAAGATAGATGAGTCCACTGTGTCCCCACCGCCCAGGCCCCGCACGGGTTTCTTTCGGACCTTCTCTTTCTCCTTCATAGGCTGCAGTGGCAGGAGATTGTCCTTTGAGGGCTGCCCATTGCGGAGGTCCCCCTTAGGTCCACAGCCACCCCCTGTGAGGTGCGGTCCAGGATCTGCCTGGAGGAACTCGGTGAGGTTCTGGGACCCCCGGGCCTCGGGCTGCTCACTGCGGAACTCATTGAGAATGTCAAAGAAGCTCTGCTCTGGCACACCCTGCACATCGATGGAGGACGTGCTCCCGTACTCGCGGAAGAGGGGCAATGCCCCTGTGTGCCGGGCCCCCCGTGGCTCCCCTGTGTCCTCGATGTCACACTCACTGAGAGTGATCTCACTGCTGCTGCGGTGCCGCAGGGGGAGGAAGGCCCTGCCAGGGGACCGAGGCCAGCCGTCCTGGAATTCCACATCTTTGGACCTTCTCCTGGAGAGTCGGTGGAAGGCTTTGGACCCTGAGGAAGCCAAGGTGCTGGAGGGGGGCTGTCCATTTTGTATGCTTCTCATGGAATGGGCTACCTTGGTGGCCTTTGTGCCATTTGCGTCCTGTGAGGGGCTTGGGTTGTTCTGCTCTCTCAGAGCCTCCCGCTTGGGTGGCCAGTCAGCCACTCTTGCCCGCACACCCATCTTAGGCATTGCAGGAGTAGTGGGGCTGGGGCGAGTCGTGGCAGTGGCTGGGCTCTCACCAAGAGGCTGGGACATGCTGCCATTCTGGGCCCAGAATCCCATGGGAGCGTAGTCCCCTGAGTGCGGCCCAGGGAGGACGTCGGCCCCCCTGGCCCCACAGCTGGCTGCCAGGTCCACACCATCATTGGGAATGGGCCGATAAGTGGTCATAGTCCATGGGCACTGGAGTGCTACTGGACTCTGTAAGCTGTCGTGTCACTCTATGGGGTCTCCTGGCCCTCAGCCATTGTTCAGGGCTGCCAGTCCCAGGATGAAGGACACTGGCCCCTGAAACCTGACAGGAAGGTTGTGAGCCTGTGGAGTCCAGTTCTCCACCATTGCTGTGGACAGTTGAGCCCAGACAACCTCAGGAGGCAGGCGCTGTCCCTCGGGCTCCAGACTGAGAGACTCAGCAGGGCAAAGCAAGCAGCAGATGTGGGCAGGGGCTGGCAAGCAGCAAGGTTGTCCTCCCTGCCATGCTGAAAGGGAAGAAAAGGAAAACGTGAGATGTGATGAACATGTTATTGCTCACAGAGAATGGGAACATGGCTTTTTTTGGACAGTTTTACTCATTTAAAAAAACCTTTTTATGCTGGAAATTTTCAAACATATTCAAAAGCAGAGAGAAAACTATGATGAGACACCCCACCAGCTCCAATCACCAGGAACAATTTTTGCCATTCCTGTTTCATCTATCCACTCAGCCTATACATTTATTTTTACAAAATATTTTATAGAAAATCCAAGATATCAGGTCATCTCACCCATAAATACTTTAGCTTATATCTCTAGCAGATTAGGTCTTTAAAAATAATAACCATGATACCATTATCATACTCATTTAAAACTAACAAGATTTCTTTAATATCATGTAATAACCTGCCTGTATTACTCCCCCCCCCACATTGTTGCAAAGGTGTCTTTTGTGAGTTCGTTTGTCAAAATCAGAATCAAAACAAAATCCATACTCTGCTTTGGCAGATATTTTTCTTAGGTCTCTTGTACTCTATAATGGCCACCTTCCTTTATTTCAATGCTATTTACTGTTGTCTTGTGGAGTTTCCCACTTTTGGGATCTCTGTGGTGTCTTTAACATGTTCCTCTGCCCCCTGTATTTCCTGTGATCTGGTGGCTGCCTGACCACCTATACACCTGCCCAGCTACTCTGCCAGAAAGGAAATGAAAATGATGGATGAGTCATCATGAGCACCAGTGGATGTTGGGGAGAGAAAACACAGAAGGAATGTCTCTAGAAATCTACATGATTAACAGATACTATGAACTGGTAAGTCAGATGCCATCACTTCTTTGCTGAGATCTCCTCAGTGACTCTTTACTGCACTAGAATAAAATCCAAACTCTTTCTCCTGGTCTGCCAGCCCCAAAGGATCTGGCCCCTGCCAGTCTCCCTTTCTGTTTCCCCCATCCCTGACTAAGCTTTGATCATTTTGTCCCTCTTTTCTGTTCTTCTGACATACCAAGCCTCATCCGGGATATCTGGATATCCTTCCTCGGTTGTTCGCCAGACTGGTTCCTCTCTAATATCAACTCTTCACTGAGGACTTCCCAAACTACCCTACATAGACAGAAGTCCCATCTCCCCTTTCTCTAACACCTGCTCTGCTTTCTTTCTATTTTTCTTAGTAGTTGTCAACAAGTGAAATTATTTTGTTCATTATCTGTTTACTGACTAGTCTCTACCATTAAAATGTCAGCTCCAGAATGGGAGGAATGTTTATGTTGTTCAATGATGTATCCCCGGCACCTAGAACAGTGTCTAAGATACTTGTTCACTGTTTATTGTATGAATGAATGAACAGATGGCCTCTGCCTAATCTAAAGTGTAAGTATATCCCAATTTGCAGGCCTCTGGGGAGGGGAATTCATGCTTCTGTCCAGCAGTATAAAACACTCGGCAGGACCACTTCTTTTTGTCTCTACCTTGAACTTCTTTTTTTTTTTTTTCCTTTTTGTCTTTTTTACTGACTGGTAACGGGATCACAACCCTCGGTGTTGCACCCGCACCGCGCTCAGCCAGCGAGCGGGAACCGGTCTCCACATGGGATCCGAACCCTCAGCGGGACCGCTAGAGGGGAATTCATGCTTCTGTCCAGCAGTATAAAACACTCGGCAGGACCCCTTCTTTTTGTCTCTCCCTTGAACTTCTTTTTTTTTTTTTCCTTTTTGTCTTTTTTACTGACTGGTAACGGGATCACAACCCTCGGTGTTGCACCCGCACCGCGCTCAGCCAGCGAGCGGGAACCGGTCTCCACATGGGATCCGAACCCTCAGCGGGAGCGCTACCGCGCTCCCAAGCAGCGCACTCTCCAGTGCGCCACCGGGCCGGCCCTCTACCTTGAACTTCTGGAAGATGAAATCCCCTGATGAAAAGGAAGGGGAAAGTGGGTCACCGTCTGTGACTTGACCTATTGGTCACCCCAGCAGCCATGTCTCCTTCTACCAACAGAACTGATTTTGTTCAGGGCAGCACAGTGCTGGGTTGGCCTGGGCACTTGGCTCAAGACCAATAACTTTTCTTTCCCTTGGAACCTAGAGCTGAATATGGCCATTCCGTACAATGGCTACTGGTGCTTTCCATACCAGGAAGTGGAAGACCTCCTCTGTGTGTGTTGGGGGGAGCGGAGAGCATTTCCTAACTCCTGCCTAGAGGTATAGAGTGAACTGGCAGAGAAAGATCGAGAGGGAAGCATGAAGCACTTTCATGGAGCACAATGGTGAGGAGAGATTATAGCTTTTGAGAAAGAACCAGAAGGTGAAGAGGTGTCCCGTGACACAGGAACATTCCTGAAGATGTCGCAGGGAGGCAGTACAGGATCTATGCCAGAGAAGGAGGAAACTGGGAAGCCCATAGTGTCATGATGTCTAAGGGAGATAGAGAGAGGCCAGGAAGAGCATGTGGTAACCTGGACAGCAGGGGCACCTTCTGAAGAGGCAGGCGGGCTTCAGCTCCTGCCAACTGAGCCTTGCAGGAACATGGATGCCAGGTCATCTGATTTTTCAAGAGAAATCAGAAATCTAGAATTGTATGCAACATCTCCCAATTTGAAAAGCAAAAATAACAGTGACAACAACAAACCACCATGCAGAGATCTCTAGAAGGATTTTCAAGAACTTGCAGGTAGTGGTTGCCTCTGCGGGAGGGAACTATGTGTCTGTCCCCCTACTCCCAGGCCCTTCCCTGCTTCATTTTCTCCTTAGCACTTAGGAATATCCTTATTTCTCTTATTTGTTACTGGTCCCCTACCCCATGAGAATGTGAGCTACCACCATATCCCCAGACGCTAAATGTGTGTCAAAAGAAGGGGAGGGAGGAAATATTACTTTTCATTGAATACCACTTGCTACCTTTTGAATTATTTGCATGTATTTCTAGTCAATAAATATATACTTAAGAACATTACCACCAAAAGCACAATGAGGGTCCACAAAATATGTATGTGGATTGATTTGGGCAGGGGCTGCTGGTCTGTAACCTTTGGTGATGGGTCGGTGCTGCAGCTTTGCCAGAGAAAACTGAAATCATTTTGCTCATCATGTTTACTTACTGTCTCCATCACTAAACTGTCAGCTCCAGAATGGCAGGGGTGTTTGCAATGGGAGCTTGAGCCCAGCTGCACACTCTGGGTGCTGGATCCCAGGTCGCAGTATGGTAGCCAGCCCAACCAAGGGCACTGCTTGTGCTTGGCAGCCCACCCTGCGTAGTGGCCCCTCCCTCAGTAAGCCTGGGCAGAGTGTGGAGGGAGGATTAGTCCTCTGAGGCCACATTTAAGCTGGCTGGGAAAACCAGCAGCCCAGACAGTGACCCTGACTTGCTTATGCAAGCACCTCCTGACAGATGGGCTTTGCTGATGGCATTTGGTTTCCAGCTCAGTCAGAAACCCTTGATTCGTTTTGCTCCCTTCTGTGAACACATACAGATGTTCTCACAGGCCTCGGTCTCTGCACTAATCCCTTTTCTAAGCAGGTGCAGCCATGTCTTCCTGCGATGTTCAGAGGCTACGTGGCACCCATAGCCTCTCTGGGATTCAGGGACTGGTGGCCATGGGTCCCTTTCCAGTGGTCTGCTCTCAAGCTCCTTCTTCCTAAAAGCACCTAGATAATATGATGGGAAGATCCCGTTATGAGAGCAGCACAGCATGTGCACAGAAGTCAGACTGCCTGGGCTCAAATCCTGGGGTGCCAAAGACTGCTTACTGAAATAGTGACAGATCTAATCTGTAAAATGGTGATGACGTCACCTTCCTCATGGCCTCTGTGATCACTACCATCCTTTCATGTGTCTTTGGCAACAGCTCTTCCCCTTCTTCCCAATTACAGAAATGCTGCTGGAGTGGGCACAGGAAGTGGGCTTAGCTGGCTGAGTGTCCTCTCCTAAAGACTCTGTGTGACACTCATTAGAGCATGCAAGGCTGCAGAGTGTCCTTGCAGTGGCAGTCTCGAGGGCTTTTCCTGTGGCGTGACTTTTGCTGGGGACTCTTGTTTGCTTCCTTGACTCCTGCCTGTTTTCTAAGATTACTCCTCTGGCTTTCTGTTGATTCTGTAAGTCCCCAATAGATTCTGTTTCTGCCCAAAATTACCAAGCTTGGCTTGTGCTACTGGCATCTGAGACCCTTGACTAATATGTGGTGCTGGATGCAAGGAAGGCAGCTGGGGAACTGCGGATGGGAAAAGCCAGGGCAGCCTCAGAGACAGCAGCAAAATGAGAAGCACATGGCAGTGGTGGAGGGTCAGTTGGGATGCATTTGTCTGCAAGTAACAGAATACCACCCACTGGTGGACTGGGTGATGATGACATTGAATGATCTCACATGAGAGGCCAGATAAGGTGGCCCTAGGCTTGGTGCAGAAAACAGGTGGTGACATCAGGCCCTTGTGCTCTCCTTTCCCTCTGCCTCCATCAGTGAGCTGCTCACTTACATCTTTTGGCTTGTTGCCTCATGGTCACAAGCTGGAGGCCACAGCCATGCTTCTCACTGAACCACAGATGATGCAGGAGTGCTTTTCTTATCTGTCTGCCACTAATCAGGAAGGAGAATCTTTCCCAGAACATTCCCCTCATCTCAAAACTTTCTTTTACGTCACATTGGCCAGAACGTAGTCACATGGTCACTCAAGTTGCAAGGGAAGCTGGGAGAGCCAGAATATCTGTGATTGTCCTCATTGTCCTTGGGCTACTGGGGACTTATTAGGGTCTTTTAGAAGAGCAGGCAACTAATGGTATCTCTGTGGGTGTAAATGTTCCCACACTATCACTTGTGAAGAAGCTGGGAAACTCTGAGCTGAGAGTGCTCCCTTATCAGGCCCCAAAAGCCTGGAGCCTGGAACAGCAAAACAAGCAGGCAAGTACCACGGCCTTGGTGTCCTGGCTCTAAAGGGCCCTGCTCTGCAGGTGCTACAATGTCTGCCAGAACCTCACAGCACACAGCAGAGGGAAAAACACAAGCCTTCCAGTGGTGGA